GATTTACAGAAGTTTGTATGGGAAATAATACAATAATTAATAATAATACAACAATAGCTTGGCCGGTGTGGCTCAGTGGTTGAGCATTGACCTGATTTACTAAGAGGTCCCTGATTCGATTCCTGGTCAGGGCACATGCCCGGGTTGCGGGCTCGATCCCCAGCAATGGAGTATGCAGGTAGCGGCTGATTGATGTCGATGTATCAATGTTTCTATTTCTCTCTCCCTCTCCCTTTCTCTTTGTCTAAAATCAATAAAAACATATCTATACTAATAAAAGGGTAATACGCTAATTAGGGCAGATGTCTTCCAGACGACCTTCCTGATGTCCTTCCTGACAAAGCCGCAGTGGCTGTGAGGGCCAAGGCACAGGTGCGAAGGGCGCAGGCTCAGGCAGCTGTGGGTAGCTGCGAAGAGCCCAGGCTCAGGCTGGCAGTGGCAGCAGCAGCAGGGTTATGGGGGCAAAGCCTTCCCCTGATCCGCCAGGTCATCTCCCACAGAGGGAGGCCAGACTGTGGCTTAGGCTGGGGGCTGAGGCAGAGGCAGTTAGGGGCGATCAGGTCAGCAGGAGAGCAAGTTAGGGGCAATCAGGCTGGCAGGAGAGCAAGTTAGGGGTGATCAGGCAGGCAGGCAGAGGGGTTAGGGGCAATCAGGCAGGCAGGCAAGCAGTTAGGAGCCAGCAGTCCCGGATTGTGAGAGGGATGTCCCGATTGGGCCTGAACCGGCATTCGGACATCCCTGATCCCACAGGACATCCCCCAAGGGGTTCCAGATTGGAGAGGGTGCAGGTCAGGCTGAGGGACCCACCCCCTGTGCATGAATTTCATGCACTGGGCCTCTAGTTAAAAATAAAACACAACAAAAAACTCTGTTTTGTGTACTCACAACTATAAACCTAATTTTATTCCAACCTGTATATTTATTTGATAAAATATATTAACTGAGTTGTTCAAATCCTATTATTCTTTTTTATTTTGGTTTAGTTGATCTACTGATCAAACAGATTAATATTTACCACAATAACTGAGACTTTAACAGTGTATACTTGAATTTCTCTTTCTTTTTTGGTAATAATATTTTTTATTTATTTCAGAGATGAAGAGAGGGAGAGAGAGAGATAGAAACACCAATGATGAGAGAGAACCACTGATCGGTTACTTCCTGCATGGTCCCTACTGGCAATCAAGTCCACAACCCAGGCATATGCCCTGACTGGGAATTGAATTGTGACCTCCTGCTTCATAAGTATATGCTCAACTACTGAGCCATACTGGCCAGGCTATACTTGTATTTCTTAATATTTAGAAGCTGTTATCTTTGTTAAATTAAGTTTAACATTATTATCTTTTTTGGTGGATTGTAGTTTTGGTGTCATGAATTCTATTATCACTAATATTAATATCCCTGTATTTGTTTGTTGTGGTGGTCAGCATTTGCTTGTTATGTACTTGCCATTCCTTTATTTCAATCTTTATATATTGCTTTCTTTAGGGGTATCTCTCAAAAACAACATGTAACTCAATTTTTAATCCAATCTGAGAGCCACTATCTATTAATAGGATAATTTCATTCATTAATATTTATTGTGATAACTGACATTTTCCTGTTTTAATTCCTTTCCTGCTTTTTGTTGATCAGTGTTTTTTTCCCCTTTTAGTGATTTAGAAATTATACATCTTTTGTTTTTCTAATGATAGCCCTTAAAAATTTAAAACACACAATTAAACACATATTTTTCCATCTATTTTTAGTGTTAATTAATACCTATTATTTCTCCTAAGCAGGGAAAGAAACCTGACAAGTTTAAGTTCCTTTTGCTTAGAATTTTCTTGGATTTTAATCCTCAGGTTATTAAATTTTTTTACATCATGCATTAATATTTTTAGACAACTATAATTTTTACTCGAGTGCTCAGGGCCCAGCACCTCGGGTTTCTCAAATTCATTGCTTCCTATTTGTTGCATTGACTGTCAATTTTGTAGCCTTATCTCCCTCAGTATTTGTTTCTCAGAGTGGTTCTATAGGTTTTCAATGGGATTTTGATTCCACCAATTAGATACACTTGGATTAAGATCTGAAATCAGAACTGAGCTAAGTGGGGAAGTACAGGTAGCACATAAGATATCTGTTTTGTTGGTGTAAATTACATCAGGGGTTCTGGAGTAGGGAGTGGGAAACCTCCTGATTACCAGTGTAATTCAAATGGTGTGATCCTGGAACCCACAGCTGGGACAACAGTCTTCTGATCACCCAGCTCCCTGATTGTAGCAAAGGTGGCAGTTCTCTTGGTGAGCTGGCCCAGTCTAGAGACTGTTTCTCCAACCCTTGTAATGATTTTGTAGACAACTAATTCCTTTTATATTAATCATTTTCTACTTACTCTAGTCAGAGTGAATTCTCTTATAACTGAATCATGACTGGCAGACCATCCTTGACTTTTCTCCATCCATCTATGCCACATCCTGTCAGTGAGTGTATTCAGTCAGATACAGCTCTTCTAAATATTTTTCAAATTATCCTGTTCTCCAGCCTCACTGTCTTAGTTCAGGCCATCGTAATCTCTCTCCAGGACTATATACTAGCCTCTTTATTGGTCTCCATTCCTTCCACCCATGTCTGCTCAAATAGCAACCTTTCTAGAACATAAATCTAACCAAAAGATTGTTGGGCTTAATTACAAAGCACAAGTTTTCACTTTTGTTTTGTATGGACTGCAAGGCTCCTCAAAATCAGACCATAGTCGATTTTTCTAGCTTCATTTCCTATCACTATTCACAATCATCCCATGCTCCAATTATACTGAACTATCTCCAATTCCTTGTGCCTCTTGCAGATCTCTTTCCAGCATACTCTATCTGAAATACTCCTACTGATTCTTAAAAAACTAGGTAAAATGTTACCTCTTTTGTGACACTTTCCCTAATGTTCTTCCAAAATGTTGTTAGTCTCTCCTATGCTCCCATGGACCTCTTACAGCACCTACATCTACACTAATAAAAGAGAAACATGCAAACTGGTATCACTCCGCTAACCTTCCCATTGGCTAATCAGGGTGATATGCAAATTAACTGCCAGCCAAGATGACAGCCGGCAGCCAGGCAGCTTGGAGCGAACATGAGGCTTGCTTGCTTCAGTGACAGAGGACTCCAATGCTCCCCGCCTGCCGCCGCTGGCCTCTGAGTTGCAGTTTTAAACATTGTAACAAATATAGAAGCTAAAGAAAACCCCAGAAACCTGCTTTCAGCGAGCTGGGATCTCAGAGCTGGAGTTGTTACAGAGTTTCGATTATAGAGCCGAAACAAACCAGATACCTTCTTTCAGCAGCGGAGGCCTAAGAGCTGGAGCCTCAGAGAGAAAGCTGGCCCAGAATTAAG